CTGGTTTATAAACAATAATACTGTAAAGTTTCAACAAAATCCGTTCAGTAGTTTTTGAGTGAAAGAGTAACAAACATCCAGACATCCAAACTTTCGCATTTATAATATTAGTAGGATTGTTATACGTCGCCACTAATGACAATATTTTTTTTCCCATTTATCCTCAGTAGGGACATAGTCAGTGTCCACAACCGGGAATAGACGGACTGCGGATACTATGCGGTATCCACGAATTACCTCAGCCTGTGCCTCAGTGATATCATGCGTTGCGCTTTTTTGAACAGTAGGATGCTCCACGACTACACAGCACTGTGCCATACTCGAGCCCCATATAGGACCATATAACGCGCGACGCAAAAGTATAGTCAGCGACTCAGTGCAGCCGGGCCTCCGAGATTAGGCATCAACCGGCTTAGTGCGCCGGCGGTAGCCAAAAGCTTAGGGGTGAGACGATTCAAGTGGCGGTCAAATGACCACTGTCCAACTAACTACAATCCGAGGTACCTACCGCAAAGATTTTCCGACTGTAATATGTTGTGTATGTTCCCCCTACAACTAGGTGGGACCCTGCTGGCAGAGCATTCCTATTAACTATTCTGTAACCACCTATTTATGGCAAATAAATTATTAGTATTATTCCTCTTTATAATATTAGTAGGTATACATACATAACTTGCTGTTCCAAATTTTCGTCATTCGTTTTCGTTTCATCGCTAAAAATAACTTAATTTTATTTTTCATTACGTCTGAAATAGAATTTGTAGTAAAAATAGACTGTAATGAAAAATAACAATAAAATATTTTAATTACCACGTGATCGCAAAATCTACCACCAAGATTTTGCGGATACACTATAAAAGTCCAGCTACCTGTCAAAGATCAACGTACGCGTGACACATGTCAGCAGAGCACCGAGCGACGTGACCTCACTCTGGAACGCCTCGAGGCGGACTGAATTTGAACGATTCGTGCGCGGCGATTTATAGTAGTTTTCAAATACTCATAGAAAAAAAATTACAATGAATTATTTTAAATTTCAAAGTAAATATTTTAGATAAGATATTCTTCTATTGTATTAAGCTATTTTTGTGTTGAATAAAGGAAGAATATTGGTGAAAAAATCACTTTGATTTTTGGGTATTTCACGTTTTTTTAATTTGTGATTTCTTACTGTAAAATGCTTAAATCTAAAAATTTTCTCAGATAACTATTTGCCCAAGGATCTATGCTATAGGATATAAATGTTTGTTAAATCGTTTTCACAGTATTTTTATAAAAATTTCAGCTTGTAAACTGACGCTAAAGTGGAAATTTACAAAACCTGTGTGGACTTATCTTGATATAATTCTTGAATACTAAACTAATCGCAATATTTTCTCAATTAACTATTTAGACGACGAAATTGCCTAACTATTTATGCCTATAACATATTTGTAGTATTACTGGTTAATGATTGTAACGAGTTGAAAAAGTACTGTTTTTGCGCCAAACGGCGTAAACGCTCATAATGGGAAACGGACGTTAGTTTACAATTGACATTTTGTTTAGAATTAAGTTTGTCTTAGTTTTAAAAAAATCTGTTTATTGACAATAATTGTTGTTAGTAATCATATGAGTTTAACTAGTGTTTAATACATTTTGCATATTCAAATTAATTGTAATGAGCTTCTGTAATTTATATAAATTACAATGTATTAATTACTCAGTTATGTATAGTTTTGTCCGCGAAACAAAATAAAATGTTTTGTAAGTAAATCGTTTTCCCCATATTAATTTGTTTTTCGGTCTCTCTTCAAGTTTTCTTTCAGGACACAAAATCACAGTCTGGTCTTTTACATGAGTCGAATTTTTGTCTACTATTCAAAAATCTACCTATTTACACCAAAATTCATTATGATTGGTTCAGGATTTTCACGTAAAAATATAAAAAGACAGACATGGTTCTTTCGTATTTAATGAGCAGTGAAGAAATAAATCCTTGGGGAGGCCTTTGTCCAGCAGTGGACGTCTTTCGGTTGAAACGAACGAACGAAGAAAACTTTTGGATTTATTTTTATTTAGCAGTCTAGCTAGATGAAATCCACATCTAAGTGCTTGTTACGTCACTCGAATTAAATTAAATAAAGTATTGGACTGTGAACTTTGGCCAATTTAGTTAGGTATCATTGTCAACAATCATGGCCGAAAAAAAACTATATTAATGTCACCCGCTTCACTGAATTTCGAGAACGTTACATATTTTTTAAGGAAAATGAGCCATGAAGTACATTTATTTATAATAAATATTTATAAAAAATAAAGGGCGTAAAGGACAAAATGACGCAAATGAGTATTTAATTCTCTTCGATCTGAATATTTTGTTCGTTGAATTTCCTAAAAAAAAGTGCCTTTACGTATCTTATATTATAAGATGTCACATTTCAGCTTGATGTAGGTAGGTACAGTCAGCGTCAAATAGTTCGTGACACCCAAAGTGGCCAAAAAGTTGACAAACACAACCTTATTCCAATTGTAACAAAGACGTGTTGCGATCTTTTTGACTAGTTTGGGTGTCATGACCTGTTTGGCGCTGACTCTACTTACTTACTCAAAAACTACCTGGCTGACAATAGTGACTGAGTTTCTTGCGCTGCTTCTTCTCAGCACTGGCCCATTTATTGTCCGAAGCAGTGGTAGGGTTAATACTGGGACGTGTTTTGAAGCTTACTTACAAAAATAAATTAGTTTTTTATGAGTTTTACCATGACCTCATAAAAATATGTTGAAAACAATGCCTTGACAGGAGCTTGTTAGTTATAATGATGCCAGTATCTTACAAGTAATCGCAATAGGTATTTTGTTTCGGGGTTCCTTAACTCAAAAAAAAATCCTTATAGAATCACCACATTGTCTAGCTCAATATTATCCTTGGACATTTTACACTGCGCTTCTAGTCCCAAACTAAGCAAAGCTTGAAGTACTATGGCATGGGTACTAGACAACGGATATAAACATGCTTAAATACTTTTTTTTGTAAGTACATATATGTTTTTTAAGTCTTACTAACTACATTGTAACTTTTCCCGGGACAAACTTGACCTTCACTGGTTGGGTTATTGGCGGTCAAAGCTGGAAACATTGAATTTTTGGTAGATCCAGATTATTTTGTAACCTATTATTGATACCGTTTAATAGAGCTCATGAAGCACTTTCAGGATCAGTAACTAGATTTTTAATATCTTGTATAGTTTAGGAATAATCGAGTGAGATCACTTATCGTTACCACCCTGTATACTAGCGGCCGCCCGCGACTTCATGCGCGTGAATTCAGTTTTATCACCTTAGGGGAGGAGTTTCAAAAAATCCGTTCTTAATGAGAACCTACGTTCTGAAAGGAACCTGCACCATTTTTTTTTAATTTGAGACATCTAGCACTTGTGACTGAGTTTCTTGCGCTGCTTCTTCTGCACGGGCCCATTTATTGTCCCGAAGCAGTGGTAGGGTTAATATTGGGACGTGTAAAAGTGCTTTTTAAAAGCCTATTTGCAAAAATAAATGAATTTTATGAATTTTTATTTTATGTAGTTTCTGAAGATTTCGTGATGTCATCATTTTCGTGAAGTGTTTCGTGACAGTCAGTCAGTCAGTCACCTTTCGCTTTTATAATTATAGATTTAACTAGCTGTGCCCACGACTTCGTACGCGTGAAAACCCGTTTTTGCAACATTGTTGCTCTGCTCCTATTGATCGTAGCATGATGTTGTATAGCCTATAGCCTTCCTCGATAAATGGGCTATCTAATACTGAAAGAATTTTTCGAATCTGACTGGTAGTTCCTGAGATTAGCGCGTTCAAGTAAACAAACAAACAAACTCTTCAGCTTTATAATATTAGTATAGATTGGCCATTTCAAAACACAGACCAAAATCGGCATGGTCCTTGAAACCACGGCAAAACTCCGTAACTGTACTTACCTACTTTTACTTGATCTCTGGCCAACGCGGCCAAACCGGTCGGGTACGATAATGTGCAGTTACACGAATCAATGGACTATTCATAAGGCTGTACTCTAGTGTGGATAAAATAGGCCTTATTATAGCCATTTTGTAGCTCTAAGGCCCAGAACAGACGGTGAAACGCAACTGCAACGAAACTGCAACTTTGTGATGATTCTGATGAATGAAACTGAAACTGAAAGTTTCAAACTGGTCGCGTCATGTGTGGTCTCTCAACGGACGCTATGGCAGAAACTTAGATGCAACTCAAAAGTAACTAGCAGTTGCAGTTTCGTTGCAGTTGCGTTTCACCGTCTGTTCTGGGCTTAAGAAACTCAGTTAGTGCCTGAGATATGGGAGCGGGACCACAGATCACAGAAACTAAAGGGAGATGTGACAAAGGGGCGTGGCCGGTGTCGCAGCAATATGCCCAAAAACAGAACACATTGCATGCTCCGTCAATACCGGATCGCTGGTTCCAATTTTTGCCATGTTGGAAACTAAAACTTGAAGGATGGTGACGCCTCCCTCTCAATAAGTTTGGTGGGTCAGTTAGTGTAGTTCATCATAAATGCTCTTTCACGTCATATTATGTCAATGTCACCCCTCCCGTGCCGCTCAATGAGGGCTATCGTTTTTATACTTAACACTTGGCACCCCTGGCGATTGACAGGACCTTACTCTACAGTGACGCCATCTTGACGAGTGCAAATGCGATAGTCCTCCTACCACTTTCGCGCTCACCAGTTGGTGCCACTGTCTTCGCTACTAGCAAGTGACAGGACCTTACTCTACAGTGGCGCTAACTGGTGAGCGCTAAAACGATAGCCCTCATTGATTAGGATGTCCACTGCCTGTGCCTGAATATGGTTAGGTTTGAGAGAGCTCTTGAAGAATTTAAATTTTGTTGTTATAGCCCTCAAGGCTCCAGGATTTGAATTTGAATATTGTGTTTGTCGCCACCCTAAGCCTCTTGATCATCAAAGAATCTTTGAATTTGAATTTGATTGTGCCGTTTGCCCCCAGGGTTTGTGCTGGCCACCGCGGTGATCCTGCTGCTACTGGGCATCATCTGCGCGATATTCTTCGGCACGTGGGTCCGGCTGTTTATTGACCATGTGAGTATATCTATATATATGTATTGTTTACTTTTTCTCTTACATTGCTTCTATCACAAAGTAATATTTTTCCTTATTGGAGAGGATACCATACTCTATTTTTAAAAATACGTGTAAGTATATGCTACAATCTCATCGTCATAATAATTTCAGCCATAAGACGTCCACTGCTGAACATAGGCCTCCCCCAATGATAACCGTATGTAGCGGCCTGCATCCAGCGCCTTTCTGCTGCCTTTGAGGTCGTCGTTCCACCTTGTGGAGAATTTATCTTAGATAACCTAACAAACTGACTCAGTTCACAATTTTTTCGATGGAAACTGGTCGCTGAAGAATTATTTTAGCTAAAATTCAAACAAGTATCGTCTTCTAACCATACAAACTCGTTGGTTAACCGACAGTCGTCCGTCATACAGATCGCGTTAATCGTGGCTATTGGCAAGACATGTCGTAACTGCTTGCCCAACGTCCGAGTTGTCCGAAGTAGTGTTGTGAGTGGTATAAAATATCTATAGTGTATCGATACTAAGGCCTTGAAAAACACAAACGATATCGACAGGAATATTAATGGTATCAGTAGCCAATGGCCTGTTGAGATACCACCAGAGGCGAGAGTGAATAGGCACTTACAGGGCAGATATTATGTACCATCTTAGGCTGAGTTGCACCACCTAACTTTAACGGTAACTATGATGATAACCGGTGCTTTTTGTATGGAGATTTTTGACGTTTGTCAAAGTTAAAGTAAGATGGTGCAACCCACCCCTAGACTGCATCTCACTTAACACCAGGTGCGATTGCGGTCAAATACCTGCCTTGTCATGCATTAAAAAAATGATGTCATAGTATATCTGTAGTCTACTATTTAATTAGATACTATCAACATCTGTATGAAGAACATACTAAATAAGTATTATTGAATTCTTAGCAGAATAACTACATCGAAATTTGCCTATCGATAGTTCTTCAAGCAAATAGTAATAATATAATCTTACTTATAATAATACATACATACTATGTCCTTGTAGTATGCACACGATGACATGACATGTTATGCAAATAAATGATTTCAATTTGAATCGTTTTTCCGATACTATTAGTCGATAATTTTTTTCTGTCTTCCTTCCTTCTATATGCCCAAAAAAGGGCCCTGTGTAGTGCCTTGAAAAGAGCCTACATACTGTTAAATTAAATAATTTGATAAATTTGTGACTTTCGATGTCAACTATCGACACATTCGACACTAGCAACACTAGTCCGAGGATGCGGCGCCGAGGTCGCTGTATGAACAGGTATTGGGCCAATGCTGCATTGCCGGTTAATAGAATATTATTATAATAGGTCTTTACCTATTAAGTTGTATGAACCGTCTTTTCTGCAGAATGTAAGCATAGGCGCAGACCACTGACTTTTAGTTGGCTGATAGTTATTATGTCTAGTGTCTCGGCTGTCAAAATTTTCTAAATTCCTTCCACCTTCGGTCTGATCATCACATTCCAACAGATGAGATACAAACTAAGAGCTTTTCCGCTGTGGGTAAATTAAAAAATACAAATTACTCGGAAATGAACGCGATTTAGGACACAATTTTGATAAAATTGAAATTTTGATTTTTTTATGCAAGACAAGGCAGGTATTTGACCGCAATCGCACCTGGTAGGATTCCAATTAAAGAAACAAATAAAAATTTATTCAATCTTTGCCTGGCCCATTCCCATTTTATTTGAGGTCGGCCCTCCGCGACATGCGTCTTCAGGCGTCTTGGGTCCTGGGTTGTCTTACTGTTAACTTGGGCTTCTTTAAGGTCGTAATTGATTATTATTAAAGAATTACTAAAGAATATTATTAAAAGAACAACCAAAATTACCTATACGTAATCATAGTTGAAGGAAGGTATTGAAGCTAGCTGACGAATAAAGTAAAATAGACAATATTAGATTAATTTCTCTTAAGTCAAATATTTTGTCTTTAAATCCTTTTACTCACTTCAAATCACTAATTTACCATTGAACAAGAATGTGGTCTCCACATCCACCTGCCACATTCCTCAATAGATTTCTACCCTACACCTCAATCATAAGGTCCAATATCCAATATCGAATAGTCAATTTCGTGCTAAGTTCACCGCGTGCCTTTCGATACGGTTTACTGGACCAAGTGTGTCAAGGCGCGGTCCCACAGTGTGGCGCAAGCCCATTGTGTGGTGCTAACTGGTTAATTGTTAATATGATTTGATGGTTAGTTTGGTAGATTACTGGAAAAATTCGGAACATTTACGCCTACAAGGTGGACCGACGAAAAATTCGCGAAATTGGGCCGTAGACCTCATAAGGAAGGCGCTGGATGCAGGCCGCTACCAACCGCGCGATGTGGAAGTAATTGGGGGACGCCTATGTTCAGCAGTGGACGTCCTGTGGCTAAGATGATGATGATTAAAGGCGACTGTAGCCTACCAATGTCCAGTACCTCTAGTAGGAAAAACTTTCGAGTTCGTTTCGTTGCGTATTCAAAGTGTCATCGAAAAATTTTGTATGAAAAATTAAACAGCGCCCCCTAGGGCGGCTATAATATAGGGGGCGCTGTTTAATTTTTCATACAAAATTTTTCGATGACACTTTGAATACGCAACGAAACGAACTCGAAAGTTTTTCCTACTAGAGGTACAGGAAGGCTGGTTCGAACGCAGCTGGCCTATTGTGGTGAATCCACCGTCACACAATCATATTTAGCTTATCACGAGGCGAGGGGTCAACGGGACTATTAGTAATTTGTGTTGACAATATATAATCGCCAGTACTGTACCGATTAACTGGTCAATGAACACTCAGCTCAAATTACTGAAACTAAATGTTCACTGAAAGTCACGCAAATAGTTATTAAGACGTAGTCATCCGTTATGAGGGTTTTCCATTTTACCCTCTAAGGGGATGAAATGGGGGTGTATGGAAAAACTTAATAAACGCGAGTGACTTCCGATCCTAATCCGACCCAAACTATTCGTTTGTACATAAAGCCTGGTCCGTGAGCACGTAGAATTTTGTCCAATGATCCCAAGCTACCCATCCTTATCGCTCGCGTGTAATTATGTTGCTGTCGCGACTGTGCGACGGGCTCCCGCAGTGAGTGTGTGAGCGCAACAGCAACATAATTACGCGCGAGTGATAAGGGTAGCTTGGGGTCATTGGACAAAATTCTACGTGCTCACTTTAGTAATTTTCATTTTACGTACTGTCCATAATCAATCCAAATCCGAAGCCATCCATTTGGGGTTGATATCATCAGATTTCTCTATTTAGATTTCTAGATCCATATTTTGACGGATTCGGATCGGACGTAACGCAAAACCTATCTAAAAGTTAGTTTTTTTTATCCGCAACGAGGAAGGTCTTGGCCTGTATCTCACCTGATAGTAAGTGACGATCAGGCCGAAGGTGGAAGCGAGCTTGACCCGGAATCCTCAACCACCATGTACCATCCATCCCTAATTTTTAAGTGACCCCTTTGAATTGATGGTGAAAACGGGCATAAGTCTAAAAATAAGTTTGTAACAAATCTGTTCTTTACAGGAGCTGGTGCTTCGCCCCGGCTCGATGACGTTCGAGTGGTGGGCGCGGCCGCCGGTGCGGCCCTTCGTGCGGGTCTACGTGTACAACGTGACCAACGCCGACGAGTTCCTCAACAACGGCTCCAAGCCCGTGCTGGACGAGCTCGGACCTTATGTCTACTCGTGAGTAGAGTCACTTTCCTATGACACAAATATGAAATAGTGACGCAACCTCACTTCTACACTGTAGTTATAGGGAGGTTCCTGCATCGCGGTGACGAAGTTTTTGACCCTGGCTATATATACCCCCAGTGTTATTTTAGACGACCAAGTCCAAGGTGCTCATGAGGCTTATCCAGCTTCTAAGACATAGCATGGGGGCAATCTGATGACTTAGAGGGGGGGCAAATCAGATGCTTTTGAGGCAGAATCCTCGCGCTTAGAGGCAGGTCTTTAGAGGCCATTTCCAATGGGGAAAGCTACCTACCTTGGTCTACTCTGGCCACAGATGAGTCTCTAGGCTCTGGTGCTTCGCTCCAGCGGGTGCTTCGCCCCATCGGGTGCTCCGCCCCAGCTAGTGCTTAGAAGTAGGGAGCATGAAGCCATTTCCAATGGCAGCTACCTTCTTTGGGCTACACTGGCTACCTAGGAGTTGGTGCTTTTCCGGGGCGGGGTGCTCCGCCCCAATCAGTGCTTCGCCCCTTAGAGGTTAGGTATGTAAGGGCCATTTCCAGGGGAGGGAGTGGCCCTCCCCTGCAGAGGGTTTGGCCTACGCTGGCCATGGTTGGAGTCCCCAAAAGCGGGTGCTTCGCCCCCTAACGTTCGTGCGCCCTTCGTGCGGGTCTACGTGTACAACGTGACCAACGCCGACGAGTTCCTCAACAACGGCTCCAAGCCCGTGCTGGACGAGCTCGGCCCTTATGTCTACTCGTGAGTAGAGCTATATTCGCTTATCATGTTGCCTAGCTAAGTTCGGGACTTCGCTTCTGCACTGTACTTTCCTGCATCGCGGTGACGAAGTTTTTGATCGGGGCTTTATATACCCCCAGTGTTTTCTTAGACGAACAAGCCCAAGGTTGCTGAGGTTCATGAGGCTTCTAAGCCAGCATAGGGACAATCTGGTGGCCTAGAGGGGGGGCAAATAAGATGATCTTAGGGCAGAATCCCCGGGCTTTGAGGTAGGTATAGAGGGGCCATTTCCAAGGGGGGCAGCTGCCTTCCTTGGTCTACACTGGCCACGGATGAGTCTCTAGGCTCTGGTGCTTCGCTCCAGCGGGTGCTCCGCCCTAGCGGTTGCTTCGCCCCATCGGGTGCTCTACCCCAGCTAGTGCTTAGAAGTAGGGAGCGTAGAGGCCATTTCCAAGGGAGGCAGATGCCTTCTTTGGGCTACACTGGCTACCTAGGAGTTGGTGCTTTTCCGGGGCGGGGTGCTCCGCCCCAATCAGTGCTTCGCCCCGTAGAGGTTAGGTATGTAAGGGCCATTTCCAGGGGAGGGAGTGGCCCTCCCCTGCAGAGGGTTTGGCCTACGCTGGCCATGGTTGGAGTCCCCAAGAGCGGGTGCTTCGCCCTGGCTAGTGCTTTGCCCCCTGACGTTCGAGTGGTGGGCGCGGCCGCCGGTGCGGCCCTTCGTGCGGGTCTACGTGTACAACGTGACCAACGCCGACGAGTTCCTCAACAACGGCTCCAAGCCCGTGCTGGACGAGCTCGGCCCTTATGTCTACTCGTGAGTAGAGTCACTTTCCTATGACACAAATATGCAGCGATGACGGAACTTCACTTCTGCACTGTACTTTCCTGCATCGCGGTGACGAAGTTTTTGACCCTGGCTATAGTGTGAGTCACGTTAAAGTGTACATATGAAAATAGATGAAACTAGACCTATTTTTGTCGACAAAAAAGAGGTCAAAATTTTTTTGATTTATTTTTTTATTTTTTATAGAATTTTTTTTCTTCCAATTACTTATTGTAAAGAAAACGTAATAACTTTTAAACTAAGCGGTATATTCTGATAAAATAAAAACAGTAATAATGCTAAATAACAGGCGATACTAAAAAATACATAAAATACACAAAAAAGGCCAACAAATAATAAAAAATGATACTTTTTGAAAAAAATCTGCTTTTAAATTCGTGTTTTTTTGGTTATTTGATAAATTTCTCCAAAAAATGCCCTATAACCGGTGGTTTTTATTACTTTGTATTATTCTCTATCGTATTACCTTTGTAAAACCAAAAATCGCATGTCTCTATCCCTATCACAACGTTTGCAATGATCGTTTGAACTAAGCCTCTCCGGGCGCGCCATTCAATGCTTCGTTAACAACGAAACTGAAAATGGCTCTAGATTTGTAATTTTGATAAAAACAAGTTAGATTTCAAATAAAAACAAAAGATTTAGAAGTAAAATAAGCATTTTAGTTAAAATTAAAATTGTCTCTACCTGTAGCGGAGAGTAATGTTGTGGCAGGCCTTTGTTCAAACGATCATAGCAAATCAGGAGATGCAGCTGTGGGAACGAGAGGTGGGAATCGTACCGTACTAATCAATTCTGCATCGCGGTGACGAAGTTTTGACTGTGGTCATAGTTAAAACTCCAGACTACCTTACTTCAGTCATAACCATGGTCATTGCCTCTGTGTCTACAGTCACTTTGCGGTCGCAAATTGAAGTCACACCTATGAGGAAAATCGATTTAAGACGTGACAAAACTGACAAATCATTCTTAGTAAATTGTAAATGGGACAAATTAACTAATTCATTTGTGCATTAAACTTAATAACCTTTTGATAGATTTTTAATTGAAAACTCATATAGTTAACGATTAAATCTATACTTACTAATATTATAAAGCTGAAGAGTTTGTTTGAATGCGCTAAGCTCAAGATTTCAAGAACTACTGGTCCGATTTGAAACAGTCCTTTTGTATTGGATAGCCCATTTATAGAGGAAGGCTTTAAGCTATACAACATCATCCTACAGCCAATAGGGGCGGAGCAGTAAAGAAAAATGTTGCAAAAACGGGAAATATAGATCGTTTCATCCACGAAGACGCGCCCCACCAATGTTTGGTCTCGGTCGCGCGGGGTGCGGGGAGTTTGATCCGAGCAATCCGAGCGTCATTATTGTAGTGTGCGTGTGCACTCATGGATAAATTTAGCGTGTACCGATAACACTCAAACATTAGCGGAAGAATGGCGGAGCGCGTCTTCGTGGATGAAACGATCTATTATATTCTACTCAAACTATTTTCACGCGTACGAAGTCGCGGGCACAGCTAGTCCCTCCATAATTAAGATATTTGATAGCATTAATATATTTTCCGTGATGCTGTTGATTCTTTAAGTGCCACTAAGGTCAGTGTTGAGGAAAATGATGTTTTCTAGGTCAATAATCAGTCGTGTCATCTTATTATTCGGGTCAGGGATGCTTAAAAACGATTAAGTAACATTAAATTGTATCGTGCACCAAATATTTGTGATTTATGTAATACTAGCTGTGCCCGCGACTTCGTACGCGTGAAAACCCGTTTTCGCAACATTTTTAATTGTTGCTCTGCTTCTATTGATCGTAGCGTGATGTTGTATAGCCTATTCACTAGGTGGGGGTAACATAATCGATCGCAGCGCTCATGGTGGTCAAAAGTAGAAATAATGTAAGATCTGTCATCAGATTTATCTGTCAATGGCAAAGCGATTCTACATAATACATTTTAATATCATTAACTAATCGCATGAAAAGGGTCCTACTGGGAACTTAAATAAAAGAGTGGACTGTATTTCGATAGGGCTGGTTTAATAGCCGTTTACAATTTGGAAATAACTAGACTATACAACGTGGTAGTACAAAAATGAGTCACAGTAGTTGTTGTTCACAGATGCTTGCCTTATGATGAGAGCGTGAATTATTGAACTCTGCCCTTGTTTTGTTCTTAATTCTTCTACATCTCGGACTTGTCCAGCCAATACCAACAACTTTCCTTAAAATACGGTTTGTTGTTGGAATTTGATATTGTAAAACTCACAAACCCGGTCTTCAAAACAATACTCATTTCGATCTGAAAACGATATTTAATTTATTACTAGCGATACAGGAACATTTAAATATATTTACTGTTATTTAATGAAACCGTTAAAGTAGCTTTTTCTTTTTGTTTTACTGTAAAACTACAATTAATAAATGAAGTAAACAAACTTTGACACAATCAAAATTAAACACACTTTTTGGACTTACCTCATTTGATTTGAATGACCAAAATGATTTCAAAACCTTTTTTCCACCCAAATCGTGGTATCACAACAATTTATTAGTTGAAAATATTTGTTATGTTTTCATTTCGATATTTTTTCACAAATAAACGACCTAAATGTCAATGTGACAGAGCCCACAAAGTTGTGGACGCTAGTTGGCGCTGTAATCGTGCACAGAGCCAATAGCCTTCCTCAATAAATGGGCTATCTAAGACTGAAAGAATTTTTCAATTCGGACCAGTAGTTCCGGAGATTAGCGCGTTCAAGTAAACAAACAAACTCTTCAGCTTTATAATATTAAAATTATAGTATGGATTAGATGACCCGGCGAATTTCGTACCGCCTATGTTCATCAGAAATAACGTAGGATTCTAACGCCCGTATTCACAAACATTACTATGAAGTCTCACAGTGCGCGTGGACGAACCAATTACATAGCTCTATTCAACGCTGTGCGTTCGATTTGATGCTTCACTTAAGCAAGCATCGAGCACTTAAGAAATCGAGTTCTGTCTGTGATTAGTTCATGTGTCACCCTGTACAACCACGCGCACTGTGAGACCTCATAGTAATGTTTGTGAATACGGGCGTCAGTCTATGTATTAATTTAGCAAACAACAGTTTATTGTCAGGTGCATAAAGTGGAAGAATCATATTTTAAATTAATTAAATCGAAATAAATTGACCACATCCTGTATTTTCCGGTGATAACCTTATTTTTGTTATTAAAAATAATAAGAAACAAAACACTGGAAACTTTTGCATTATTATTTATAAACTGTTTGTTTAAGTGATTTCATTTAATCTCTTATTTTTATCATTATAAGATTAATTGGCACCAAGTTTCCGATTAAACTCGATTCGTATCCGGCGAGACTTAATCGAGTTCAGTAATCGGTTAAACTTATAAACTAGCTTTTGCCCGCGGCTTCGTACGCGTCAATATTTATCTGTCTCAGAAATACTTTATGGCTGTGTTTCCCTTATATAATATAATACTTTTTATCCCAAAAAACCGGGATAAAAAGTATCCCTGGATTTCAAACTATCCATACTAAAGTTCATCAAAATCGGTTGAGCGGTTTCCTCGTGAAAAAGTACTCTGTGAGACCTCATAGTAATGTTTGTGTATACAGGAGTTAGGCAGTTAAGTAACTAACTGCTATAGTAAGTTCAAATTGATATGATTTCAAAGTTTCCCTCCACAACATCCGTATTCCGCGTGTATTTCTAGACTCTAGAAGTGAGTTTTCTTTTTTACCCTATATTTATATCAATTCTACAACTTGTGTCAACACGCAACTTCGCGTGAGAAGTCACTGCGTTATTATTTGTTACGTTATATGCATAGTACTCAAGGTGACTTGTATAAGGGATTAAATTCAGTTATAAGCAAAAGTCTTCATCAAAATAGGCTAGTTTTAAAAAAAAAAATACATTTATGCCCGTTTTCACCATCAATCCCTAATTAAGTGAAACATAACATATAACAGAAATTTTGAATTCAAAGGGGTCACTTAAAAATTAGGGATTGATGGTGAAAACGGGCATTAGTCCGTCAATTACATTATCAAAAAATATTGGACACGTATTTTTTGGTTTGTCAATCAAACAAGTAATTACGATGTTATGATGCGTTGAAGTTCCGCGTGACGTGACAAAGTGCTACACTTTTAAGCAGTCCTTGACGTCACGGGCCTTTTCTTTTGAACTTTGCCCTTTATCTCTTTCAATTTTCATTAGTTTGAAAAAGTGAAAAATACGTGTCCAGTATTTTTTGAAAAGTTAACCGAAGGCCTATTCAAACTCTTTGGCTGGGTTGCACCATCTTACTTTAACTTTGACGTGCGTCAAAAATCTGTCAAATTCCAAACAAAAACGCCGGTTATCGCTATAGTTACGGTCAAAGTCAGGCGGTGCAAATCGGCCTTAGTTTTTTACCCAGGAAACATCCCTGTTTGTTGTGGCTTTCCACCAAGGTGAGATTAGTACCTTTTAATCTTTATTTTACGTCTCTTTCTTTCCTCAGGGAAGAGTGGGAGAAGGTTAACATAACCGACAACGAGAACGGGACCCTCTCGTTCCACTACCGGAGGACGTACACCTTCCAGCCTGAACTCAGCGCGGGGCCTGATGACGATGCTGTGGTCGTGCCTAACATTCCCATGCTGGTGAGTATTTTCACAATACACATAAAATTATAATAAAAAAAAACTTTTTTAAAAACAAACTTTATCCTGAAATGCAGTTGTACTAAAACGAAAATAATAATTTATGCTAGGTTCAAAGAATTTCGAAAGCTTGTATCGCGCATGGAATGTATTCCTCTTTTTTTCTGTTTGCGCTACAAGCTTTCGAAATTCTTTGAACCTAGCATAAATTATTATTTTCGTTTTAGTACAACTGCATTTCAGGATAAAGCTTGTTTTTAAAAAAGTTTTTTTTTATTATAATTTTATTTTACACTTTTTAGTTGTAACTATCTTAATATCTTGTCCTGGTCATCATTCAGCATAAAAGTGCTCGGGAAGTCGAATCCAACGAACCCAAACTCGAGAAGTTTCCGCCGTTTCGTTGAGTTCCTATGGCCACCTCCTGACTCCATCATCAGACCAGCTCAATGGTACCATAATATTGCATTGTCATCGTACATACATAAGTATACCAAATTTCAGCTCAATAGGTTGAGGAGAACTGGTCTTAAATTCAGTTGCAAAATTTGTCCCACACATACTATCAAGTGAAGTCAATATAAAGCTTGTAATAATAAAATAGTTTAAAAACTAAAAACACGCTTTAATTACTGCAATAAAAGGCCAAAAATTCCGCTGTGTCGTTTAGGAGTTCCTATGGACAATTGGACACCTCCCGACTTCATCATCAGAACCCTGGACATCATAGCACTAATGTACTCAAAAAGACAAATCCAATGAACCCAAACTCGATGCGATTCCGCCGTTTCGTTTAGGAGTTCCTATAGCCACCTTCCAGTCCCATCATCAGACCAGCTCGATGGTACCATAATATTGTATTGTCATCTAATCTACATATAACTGCCAAGTTTCATGATGATACAAGAATTAGAAGTGCAATTCAGATTCTTAAATCAAATCAGCCCGCATTCACAAACATTACTATGAGGTCTCACAGTGCGCGTGGACGCACAGGGACACACACGAACCAATCACAGAGCTCTGTTCAACGCTGTGCGTTCGATTTGCTTCACTTATGCAAGCATCGTTTGTGAATGCGATAATGTCATTATACAAAAACCGTTCCCAAATTCTTATTTTAATAATTATGTTGAAAGATTTTGCATGTAAATTAGGTATAGGTTAATAAACAGGCCAGTTTTACAGGTTTCATTTATTTCTTGTATTTCAATTTTCCTGTATCTTAAACATTTCGTTGTCTTTTAAGCAAGTGAGTGTTATGTTTTTATAAAAACATCCTGTTAAATTAAAATAATAACAACATTCAAGCAATGACAAGCATACCTAAGGCATTAATCATAATACTTAGTAATTACAATACGCAGAACGTAACCGCGGATAAAAATTACACGTAATTAATGTAAATTGTCCAGTCATTAAGCTATAGATCATCTGTCATTCAAGATCATGAGTATCATTAAGGCAATTGATTATAGATTTTATAATGCACAGCTAACTTCTGCCAGCGGCTTTGCCCGTATTTTTACAAAAAAACTGCCCCCTAGACAAGTTGCACTTTTGAATGGAATCGAAAATCGAATCCGTCAATACTCCACACAAAAAGGCCTTTCGATCACTTTTCGACTGGTTTGCGATTATAATATTTTAAGCACTTTGTCTAGACCCACAGATCCTTGAAAAAGAGGCTGACAATAGTGACTGAGTTTCTTGCGCTGCTTCTTCCACTGGCGCATTTATTGTCCCGAAGCAGTGGTAGGGTTAATACTGGGACGTGTAAAAGTGCTTTTTAAAAGCCTGCTTGCAAAAATTCACTCACATAAAAAAATATTAGAGCTCATATCTTCAGCGTGCCAATAAGTGCTAACGAACTGTCAAATAGTTGCAAAAAACGTTTCTGTTTGACGTGACGGCGACGTCATCACGCATCTCTTTTTATCACACAGTGTTGCTGCTAGTGACATCTAGCTCGCTCAGTCCTTTGTTGCTCTATTCCGCTAGGTATTTAACTTGATCGTAACACATACATACAAATGTATGATCAATTCGAGCCGTGGTGCGCATACGAACCACGGATCGGAACGGCAAGTGGCGCGTGACGCGTTACTGTTAACAACGCCAGACTTGCGCATGCGTCGATATGGTAGCAACAAATAACTTGTTCTTTAGGTCCCCTTCATTTATATCCCACTAGCGGCCGCCCGCGACTTCATAAGCGTGGACCCCGTTTTACCACCTTAGGGGTTGAATTTTGCAAAATCCCGCCTTAGTGAGCACCTACGTTCTAAAAGGAACCCCCATGCAAAATTTGAGACTCCTAGCACTTGTGGTTTCTGAGATATCGTGATGAGTGAGACAACAATGCTGAAGATCGTTTCATCCACGAAGACGCGCCCCACCATTCTTCCGCTAATGTTTGAGTGTTATCGGTACACGCTAAATTATCCATGAGTGCACACGCACACTACAATAATGCCGCTCGGATTGCTCAGATCAAACTCCCCGCACCCCGTGCTTCCCTCGACCAAAAATTGGTGGGGCGCGTCTTCATGGATGAAACGATCTAACATTGTTGTTATGGCGACAGACTTAGTTAAGATGGTGGTAGCTAGCCAGGTGAACTATAAAATTAAGAATACCATTCAATTGACTCTAGCTAGGAATCAAATCCAGAACCAGTCCACTAGAAAGTGAACTGACAGTAAAAAAAAATATTTCACCACGAGAAGCCCAGTTTCACTTAACACGGTGTGATTTAGAAAATTGGCGATTAGCGGTTATGGTCACTAATATGGTTAATGCGACCACGTATCGGCCATTTTGCTAAATGTGTGGTTAAAGTACACGCTAGAAGTAGGTTTTTGAGTTGTGGCCTTGATTTTTAGTTTTCGATGCAATGACAAGAAATTTTAATTATCAAGTAGGTACGCGCGACGTCACAAAGTGCTACACTTTTAAGCACTCCTTGACGTCACGGGCTTCTTTTGAACTTTGGCGCTTTATCTCTTTCAATTTTCATTAGTTTGAAAAAGTGAAAAATACGTGTCGAGTATTTTTTGATAAGGTAACCGACTAAATGCTTTTTTACCCAGGAAACATTCCTATTTCAATCCTCAGTCCTTCCCTACTTCCTTACACAATCTGGCCAGAGTGGGGTAGTTCAAAATTAAATTCTTCCTTTGCCTCTGGTAAATTAGAGGGTCGTGCTCATGCAGTGGAGACTGATAATGATGATTTTATTAAATGTATACGTTATTTTATTAAATAGTACAAGCTCTACAATTTTCTGCTCAGCACTGGCCCATTTATTGTCCCTAAGCAGTGGTAGGATTAATACTGGGACGTGTAAAAGTGCTTTTTAAAAAGCCTTCTTGCAAAAATAAAACGAGTTTTAATGAGTTTGAGTTTTTTATAAAGCAGGTAGTTTACATTCAACTAATCATGATAGAAAATGTATCTATGCCTAAGCATTTAGCTAAAAGAGTGGCATTTATTCCTGTTTTTAATTAATACTGAATAAATCCTGAAAAGTACATTTGCACCCCACGGTGGTCCCGCGTCTATGTAACAGCGGTCAAAAGTGAAAAACTTCTTAATAAAATAAAATACTTTGTAAAACATTGTATATTATTATATTATGCTACTGAAATTAAAGTAAAATACTCTTTGGGTAAAGAAGACTTCCTTTTTTTAGGCAAATTTCGCAAACCAGTGATTATAAGGATCGCTTAACCAGTCAAAATGTCTATTTTTGGAAACTTTTGTAGACTGAGATGCCTTTTTAAAATACTCTCAATCAGATAATTACTCTTATTTTCTAAATTCTTCATGTTAATATTTTCCTCATCACTAACTAATGATAACTTTAGATTCTGGTACACAAGACGAGACTTTTCAGCATTCGTGCCTTTTGTAACATTCCATTGCTCAAATACAAACAATCTTGAAAACGAGCAATGAATTTCTTGGCCTAGAACAGAAAAATAAATTGTCTTGGATTTCAAAGCTAAGTAAATAATGCAACTTTGGACCCCTACTGTCAAGGCCTTTGGTACTCTTGGGTGAAATTACATACAAAATATAATAAAGCATATTGTCAGCTAACAAATGACGTATAAATTGTTACGGGGCACGACGGGGAACTAAACTAAAAGTCTGAAAATATTTAATAAATCATCAATTATTTTCATCATATTTGACATGTTAATACCAGCCATATAACTTTAAAATTTTGACAAAAAGTTACACATTACCTTTTTCCAGGATTTCCATTGTTAAATGCACTAGTTTTAAATACAATTTATAAACAAAACTTTATGTAAACAAAGCAATAAACTTAGGACGCGCTGATAGCAACCGTTCTTAGGCGTGCAATCATTGACTTCTGACTCGCAAAAGTATACCAATTTGTTAAGAAACATGTTGGAACTTTATTATTTTCTAAAACTAGAGGTTTTTAACTACCTACCTGCGTAAATAAAAAAAGATTAATAGACAACTGATTTTTTTGACTTTTGACCTCTGCCGGGCCTTCTGTGCACCCCTTTAATTCCAACTAACATACAAATACATTGTCTTATTCTTTTCGAAAACGCCATGGCGTGAAAGTAGAAACTTTCTCTTAATTGTTATGTAATACGCCGTGTGATATCCACACCAAGTGTTGGATATTCAAAAACGTACAGTCGATTTTTTAATACAGTAAAGTGACTTTTATTGTCAAAAAGATATAAATTAGGATGGCTCATTAACTCATAAAGGTAGCAAGAAGGCGCTGGATGCAGTCCGCTACCAACCGGGCGATATGGAAATCATTGGGGCCTATGTTCAGCAGTGGACGTTTTGTGGCTGAAATGATGATGATGATGACCCATTAGCCGTGTTATTCCGTATAAATACGACAGGATTACATGACCACTCTTCCAGTGGATGTCGTAAGCGACTAAGGGACAAATATGCGAACATCAGGCCTCCCCAACCCGTCTGGCCAGCGTGGGGAGTGTAGGACAAATCCTCCATTTGCTGGTAAATTAGAGGGTCGTGGTCCTGCAGTGGAGACTGAATGACCTGATGATCATAAGACAAAAGAAGGTTGTTTTACGTATGTGTGACGTTTCTAAGTTATGTGACATACCTATTTGACGCGATTCTGACGCGACGAACCCAATATGGAAACCAGTTTGGAATGTGTTTGGCGAAAATACATTAATTTATGTATTCGATGCCATTTACATAGATAACATAGAGATAGAACTGTATGTGGAAGAGACTCTTAATTTCGTGGATCTAGAAAAATTGTATTGTCTTACGCCCGTTTCTCATATTCAATCAGTTTTCGATCCCTAAATAAAATTAAACCGGAATATTTTTACCATAAACATAATAAAATTTGACAGTTGACGGACGGATTTGGATTAGGATTAAATAATATAAAAATCCAGCAATAGTAAGCTATGATAGACAGAAGCTAAGATGATAATCGATCTTATAAAAAAGTACTGAAATCAAACTAGAAACGATCTTATAGGTATAGCTGAGCGTAACGTCAGAAAACACTCACACTTACTAATGGGACGCTGCCCGGTTTCAACGTGTAAAGTGACGTCATGAGATTACAAATATCTTAGATAATCGGAAAAGCACTGAATACTTTTAAGTAGGCTAATGAATTTTAAGTAAGCAATTAAAAAGACAGTAAAAAATATGGTTATTAGTTTTTAAGCAGCGCTTTAATACGTGTCCCATTATATTTGAACTCCTATGTTCTTCTGATTAATTTTGTTGCGGGTCCAATGATAGTTTAACTTTCCCAAACACGTCTTGACCTTCATTGGTTGGGTTATTGGCGGTCAAGCTGTAGATCCTGGCTACACAGGAGTTGCAGCGGTGGGAACGAGAGGTGGGAATATTCCCGCGTCCCTACCACCGCTTCGGGATAACATGGTCCCATAAAGTCCTGCGTCATGTCTCATCCATTGATCACATATCTGTTGTCTTGTTCGTAACGGTCCGATATGATAATGCGTGTACCGCTATCAGAGCGTGGGTGGCGGTTCGAACCTCCGTTCGAGCGATTGCAATAACTTATCATATATGCGGAAGTTTTCCTAATAAAGAAAATCTATGTATGTAAGCGAAAGGTCACGAAATCTCAGAAACTACAAGTGCTAGCTCAGCTACCTCAAAATACGGGACTATTCCCACTTCTCGTTCCCACCACTGCAACCCTGTGTAGCCAGGATCTACAGCTTGACCGCTAATAAAAACCCAACCAGTGAAGGTCAAGTTTGTCCCGGAGGAAAGTTAAACTGTCATTGGACCCACAATGAAATTAATCAGAAGAACATAGGAGGAGTTCGAAGTTAAGGTTCGACTTCCCTCCGTTGCAAAGCGGATGACAGAATGTTTAGTAACCTGTATGAAAAAGATAATGCTACCTCAAAAGGAGAAATTGTAGCTATCGTTACAACTTTGAACTTTTAAGATTATTTAAAGGAAGTCAGGTTAATTATACAGTTAACATTATGAGGTTAAAGTCCTCAGCAGTTAAGGTGAACATGTATTATTTCCTTACTCCTACCTCGTTTTTCCTTGACCGCACCTTGAATATTATATTGATGACATTCTCATTGGTAGTTTCTTAATTAAAAGACTAATTATAACGGATTTGTTAAAGAATTAACATAAAATTTTGATTGGATGGAATGTGTGTTGTATGAGAATTTTTGTACACAATAAAGTTTGGTAGGAAATACATTGAAAATAGCTATTTTTTCGTTAATTGGTCAGTGTTATTAAATTTTTAGCGTTTAGAGTCGCATCTCAAACTAATTTCTCAGTTGGAAGAGCAGTCGCCCGGCAAGCGGAAGGTCGTGGGTTCAATTCCCGCCTTAGGCAGTTCGATTTTTTCAAGTTATTTATAATTTTAAAATTGGTCAGTGGTTTCAAATGAATGTTAAGTTACCATTGTTTAAGAAATTATAATGTGATATTAGAAAAATAAAAGATGATATAATAAGGTCTCTTTAAGATCCTACGGTTAGTCTGTTACCTTAATTATTGTCGTACTAGCTTTCCGCCCTCGGCTTCCCCCGCGGGGAATTTTGTCTGTCACAGAAAAACTTTATCGCGTGCGTCCCTGTTTCAAAAACCAGTAGGCCTAAGATGCGCGCCGTGATAACTATTATCGACGTCAAAATGTATGGGCAAAATCGATAAAATGGCGTGATAACCGCTTATCGCGGCGCGCATCTTAGGCCTACAGGACAAAAACTATCCTATGTCCTTTCCCGGGTCTCAAACTATCTCTAAATTTCATCAAAATCGGTTCAGTGGTTTAGGCGTGAAAGCAAGCAAGACAGACAGAGTTACTTCGCATTTATAATATTAGTATAGAAGTATAGATAATGAACATGAAATCAGCTACTACCCGCACAGACCTAGACATTTTTGTGTCCAGTTGCTTCCACACATAGGTACTAACTCGATTCCGATTAAAAAGTGTTCGGTGTCAGTAAGCAGAAACTACAAGTGTCAGTAGACAATACCAGCAACGTCATTTTAATATTATTTGTACTGTTGATAGTCCCTACCGAACAAAGTAACTGGGTGTGCCATGCGTTGAAACAAAAAATGTCTAAGTTTGTGCACCTTCTTATTGAAAACGTCATCCCTCCTCTGCCCCATCCCCTATTGTATTATACAGCCTAGAATATTACAGTTCAGTTGCATAATAGTTCGTGACACCCAAAGTGGCCAAAAAGTGGCCAAAAAGGTATCACAAACTATTTGACGCTGACTGTAGGTATACAACGGGACTATTCCCACCTCTCGTTCCTACCGCTGCAACTCCTGTGTAGCCAGGATCTACTTGACCGCCAATAACCCAACCAGTGTAGGTCAAGTTTGTCCCGGGGGAAAGTTAAACTGTCATTGCTTTATCGTACAGTGGCATAAGATGCCACAGTGTTTAGCTTGATTTACCTTTATCTGTACCCATAATGTTATTATTCATCATCATCATCATCATTGACGTCCACTGCTGAACATAGGCCTCCTCCAATGATTTCCATATTGAACGGTTGGTAGCGGCCTGCGTCCAGCGCCTTCCTGCTACCTTTATGATGTCACAGGGACCCATGTATTAATCCAGCCTTATCATCCACAGAGCGCCACCTCCCAATCCAAGCACGCGGCGCGGTTCCTCCGCCTGGCCATGGCTTCCATCATGGACATCCTCAAGATCAAACCATTCGTGGAGGTGTCAGTCGGTCAACTACTCTGGGGGTACGAGGATCCTCTCCTGAAGCTTGCCAAAGATGTGGTGCCGAAGGAACAGAAACTGCCGTACGAGGAGTTTGGACTGTTCTATGGGGTGAGTTATCTTCAACATCTTATGTGTTTTTTACCCGACTGCGCCAGAAGGAGGGTTATGCTTTTCATATGCAGGACAAGGCAGGTCATAATCATCATTTCAGCCACAGGACGTCCACTGCTGAACATAGGCCTCCCCTCAATGATTTCAATATTGACCGGTTAAAGGCCTGCATCCAGCTCCTTCCTGCTACCTTTATGAGGTCGTCGGGCCACCTTGTGGGTGGATGTTCAACTCCAGAACCTTGCTGCCCCATCGGCCGTCAGTTCTGCGTACTATGTGCCCTGCCTATTTAATAGTTAAAAATCCAAAGTGCCTATGGTGGGGATCGAACTCACGGTCTTTCGCTAGCCGAGTGACTGCTCTTACCATTCTGAGCTACATAGACATTGGGTAAAATCGTCGAATTTGTCAAGTATAATACGCAGCGTTATTTCATCAATGCTAGGTAGATAGAGTTGCTAACTACTAAAAACCAAAAAAGACTAAAGATCTGCACCATAAACGTAACTTGAGACTTTAATCCAACCAATTTATTTCCAACTCTAAACAACTCATTCGCGTATCCCTTCCAGAAAAACGGCACCTCCTCAGACGTGGTCACGATGTTCACTGGCGCCGAAAGCATGAACCGCTACGGTATCTTTGAGAAGTACAACACGCGGGACCGTCTCCAGCACTGGACTACTGACCAATGCAACAGCATCGCCGGGTCAGATGGGTCGATATTCCCGCCGCATATCACCAGGAATGATACGCTGAACGTGTATGACAAGGATCTGTGCAGGCTGCTGCCTCTCAAGTGAGTGATCTTCTATTCCCATCATTTGTTCGTTTCAGCCGAAAGACGTGTACTGCTGGACAAAGGCCTCCCCCAAGGATTCCGGTCCTGCGCCGCTCGCATCCAGGCACCTCCCGCGACCTTCACCAGAACGTCGGTCCATCTAGTGGGAGGCCTCCCTACGCTACGTCTTCTGGCTCGTGGTCGCCATTCAAGAACTTTCCTGCCCCAGCGGCCATCAGCTCTACGAGCTATGTGCCCCGCCCACTGCCACTTGATTTTAGCGATTCTGCGGGCTATGTCAGTTTAACAAAACTGACAAAAGAAATACATATGTAGTTTAAGAAATATTGTTCAAATCACAATACTTCGTTGTAGTCGCTTCTAAATTAGGTGTTAACAGATAAATCACTGTAGATCATCATTGATCCGACCCTGACACCTCTATACAGTCAACACATCAATTGCATTCTGCACCACTGCATCCGCTGCGGTGACAAATCGCGCAATCGTGCGCAGATTGTGAGTGACAGCTCGTTTGTGGGAATTATCTTACCTAAGTCTGTAGCCATAACAATGTTAAAGGTCTAAACGGCACTATTCCCACCTCTCGTTCCCACCGCTGCAACTCCTGTGTAGCCAGGATCTACAGCTTGACCGCCAATAAAAACCTAGCCAGTGAAGGTCAAGTTTGTCCCGGGGTTTTGTGTTAAAGGTAACCTCGAACTGCTCATATTATGTTCTTCTGATTAATTTCGTTGCGGGTCCAATGGCAGTTTAACTTTCTCCCGGCACAAACTTGGCATTCACTGGTTGGGTTTATTAGCGGTCAAGCTGTAGATCCTGGCTACATAGGAGTTGCAGCGGTGGGAACGAGAGGTGGGAATAGTCCCGTAACAAACCCTAGGGATCTGTGAACTTAGGAACTACATCAGGTATTCTGCGTAAACATTAATTATTCTAGTTAAACGACATATTGACTCGCAACGCAACGGTTGTGTAAGAGTTACACCATTGTGCCGTGTGAAGTCATTGTTTGCTTCGGGGTATTCAGTAGTGTTGTGTGGTTATCGATACTTTTACTATCGATAGACGCATTCCACGTTCTATTGTCAGTCCCTAAGAAAAGTATTCGTGACAGTTTTGACTTGGAAATTGTTCGCGCTGTCTCTTTTTAACGGACTTCAAAAAGGAGGAGGTTCTCAATTCGGTTGGTATTTTTTTAAACGTTCTTCGCTCCTTGAAGCGGTCACGATATTGAATCTATCGCGAATGTTAGTTTGTCTAGAGAGGCTTTTTTCCAAACATTCGAAGTAAATATCGATGATATTTTTATCAAGTCTTTATAGATTTACTCTGGGTAGAGTACAACACTAGTATTCTATTAAACGATGTCGTGGCTTACGCGCGACGTTTCTTATGAATCAACATGGTTTTAACGCGGCTCCGCTTGCCTTATTTATCATATACCTACAGGGTGGAAACGATAAGTGATCTCACTCGATTATTTCGAAACTATACAAGATATCCAAAAACTGGTTACTGATCCTGAAAGTGCTTCACGAGCTCTATCCAACGGTATCAATAATAGGTTACAAAATAAAGTGGATCTATCCGAAAATTCAATGTTTCCAGCTTCCATACATTTAGTAAAACCACATTATATTAAAAACTATGCAAGGTATCCAAAAACTTGTTACTGATCCTGAAAGTGCTTCACGAGCTCTATCCAACAATACCAATAATAAGTTACAAAATAAACTGGATCTATCCGAAAATTCAATGTTTCCAGCTTCCATACATTTAGTAGTAGTGGTAGTAACCACGGTCATGGCACTCATGTCTTGATAATATTATAGCAAATAAAGCCTAAAACAATAAAAAAAATTGTTTTCCATGAATAATTTTAAATTAGAATGCAATTTACGAGTTCATACTAAGTGTTTATTATTTAATTAAAAAAATTAACACTTCTAATATTGTGTGCCTGGCATACATTTAGTATGGAGGCTGAAAACATTGAATTTTCGGATAGATCCAGTTAATTCTGTAACCTATTACTTATACCGTTGGAAAGAGCTCATGAAGCACTTTCGGGATCAGTAACCAGTTTTTCGATATCTATACTAANAGACACTCAGTGTCATGGCCATGTCCTTAGACACTCAGTGTCATGGCCATGTCCTTAGACACTCAGTGTCATGGCCATGTCCTTAGACACTCAGTGTCATGGCCATGTCCTCCTTAGCTACTCTCAGACACGCGCTCTTTCCTTTTCATCTTCGTCACTTAAAGGTCAGTAAGCAGTGCAAGCAATATGAGACTACGTGCAGTTACTTCAAAGCAGTTCAGTTCCATTATCCTGTGAGCTCTCTCCTTTTCATCTTGGTCAAGGTCAGGA